AAATTCCTACTTGCAACACCCAAAGACACATGTAATCTCTTGAGCATATCAATGAGGGAACTGGGAAGAGGCTGGGGTATACCTTCCCATTATATCATCCAGGGCAAACTTATTATTATAATCAGTTTTTTTTTTTTTTTTTTTTTGAGTTGGAGTCCACTCAGTCGCCCAGACTGGAGTGCAGTGGCCGCTCCCGGCCACCGCAGCCTTGACCTGCCGGGCTCCGGTGATCCCTCCGCCTCAGCCTTCCAAGTAGCTGGAACTACAGGCGCGCGCTACCACGTCTGGCTGGTTTTTTGATTTATTGTAGAGATGAGGTGTCTCCGAGTTGCCCAGGTGGGTCTCGAACCTGCGGGCTCAGGCAATGCACTCACCTCGGCCTCCCAAGGCGCGGGATTACAGGCTGAGCCACCGAGCCGGCCCCCCAGTCTTGTTTTTCAAAAAACAAACTCTTAAAGCATGAGAAATCTTGGCATGCATGACCACCCGGGGGTGTCAAACTTTATATTAAACTACTCAGATACCTGGCTCTTGTAGCAAAAATATCATTGAATATCTTTTTGTTGATGATATTTAAAGGCCAAATACCCTTTTGCAAAGGCGAGGGTATGTCTCTTCACTGACTTGGCAGGAGGAGAGAAAGAGAGAGACAGAGAGAGAGAGAGAGAGAGAGAGAGAAGGGAATGAGAGGTGGAGGTGGTGTTTTTGCACATACCCACTCTTCTTTCCCCTGAGGAGTCAGAAACCTTCCCCTGAACGTAGCCCTACCCTTCTAAGCCACCTAGGTAACTGTGTGCTTCCTGGTGTCCAGCAGAAAAGAGCTGACATTCCGAAACACAGCACAGACCCATGCCTTCTCTTTTATGCTTTCAGGGACAAACTTCCCAACAGCAGAGCTTGTTTTTATTTCTATATTTATTTATCTATTGTAGTTCCTTTGTTAACACAGATATTACTGTTTGTCACATCATCAGTGTTTTACAACTTTCTGATGTCAGATATCACAGTTCATGTCTTTAATAATACTTTGCTCCAACTCTGCTCAATTCCATGAAAATCAGATGCTTTGTGTTTTTATAAAGAGAATACTTTGCTAAGTGTTTGAGTGGTTGTTAAGTGCATGTGGTATGAAATTCCAGAGGTACACTATTCACTGAAAAGTAAGTCTCCTTCCCGTCCCTGGCTTTCAGTTTCCCTCTTCAGAGGTAAGCACTGCAACCACTGTAAAGGTTATTCTTCTTTCTTTGATAACTTATGACTAACAGATTTCTTTTTTTTTTTTTAAGAAAGAAAAATTTATTTAAAAGTAAATTAGAGAGAGAAAGAGAAAGGAGAAAGAAGATTCACTTCCCCAAGGTGGGGGAGGGGGCCAAAGCCAGGAAGCATGGCCACAGCCATAGCTCAAAGAGCACAGAGACACACCAGAGTCTAGCAAGGCAATGGCCCGACTAACAGATTTCAGAAGGTTGTTTTGAGCATCTGCACTCCAGTGATTTTTTAAAAAATCTACCAATTTTAATGTTATTGTTTTAATTATTTGTTAGCTTTTGTCTTTTCTATATTTCTACTGACCACTCTGAAATGCTAGGGATTCAGGCCATTTTGTAGAGGGGCCTTGTGGCTCTAGGGATTAACAGATTTGTTTCTCAATTCCTTGAGATCAGAGACCATGATTTATTCAACTTCAATGCTGCCTAAATAGCCCGCCACAATAATTAGTGAGTACTGGGTTCATGCTAATATTTACACACCCAGGCTTAAGGATGGGTGATATTTACAGAAAAACCTGGTGCTTGCCAGCCTATTCTTTCTGTGAGGCGACACTGATGAGTATTTCCTACTTCTAGATTCTAGGCTAGTTTCTTGCTGGTTGTAGTACACACACCTCAATCACCCCATTTCCTGAAAGGTAATTACTGTAATTTGTGACATAACTGGTAACCAGAGAGGCAGTATTTATAATGGTTTAGAGAGGGTGCATTAGAGTTTGAATCTTGCCTTTGACACCGGACTTGTAAACTGGGTGAATTATTTAATCCCTCTGAGATCCAGATCCCCCATCTGTGAAGTGATGATTCATATAGGGTTATTTTTGAAAGTGAGATAAGATGGTACTTGTCATGGGCTTAGCCATACATATAGTAAGTAGTAGCTCCTATGACTGTGGTTTCATACCTTCATAAGATAGGCTAATGCATTCGTCAACTCTATGTTGTGGTGCAGTAACAATGACCTAAAAAATCTCAGTGGCTTCTAGGAAGAAGGGTTGATTTTATTGCTCATATTTTACATGTTCTTTATCTATCTCTGACCCATCCCTCTGGGACCCAGACTGAGCTGCTTCTTTTGGGAATTGCTGATGTTTTGGCAAGGGAAGGAGGGAAGGCGGAACTACACAGTGGCTCTTTCTTCTTTCTGGTAGTAAGTTTCCTCATCCACTGGTGTTTCGTTGATGTGGTTAACAGAGTGGATCATCATTTTAAAGGGGCAGTACCGGTAGGGGTAGGCATGGGAGGGCGGGACAGCGAATATTTGACAGTACGATTCATCAAACCCTAAGAATTGATTCATACCAAGACTTTCATAGCCACTGATTTATAAACCAGAATACCATTTTTTTCCCCCTTATAGTGGATATTATTTCTGCTCTGGGGACTAGTCAACAGAGCCTATATGAGGCACACTGTTCTTGGTGGATATGCTCAAAAGACTGAATTATACGTTGACATGTTATATGAAGCATACAAAAACAAAATTTGAGTGTTACCACAAGACTTTAGACCCAGAATTTGTCATGGCTTTTAATCCAGTTCTCCTTCTGGAACTGTTATTGTCCAAAGTGCAAGAATGAATGAGAATGATGGCAGCACATCCTAGACAAAACTGGAGATCATTTGATAGATTCTTGGTCTTCTTTTTCAGACTCTTGTTAACAGCAAAGTCTTTTCTTGTCAACTGCTAATTTCATCATCCCATGACTTATAGTTATTCTCTTTTATGCTGTCTACTTCTTGAAAAATGAGACTTTATTGTCATAAAGTGTCTTCAGATCACAGTGTAGGATGGATTAACCAGTTCTATCCATTATGTGTTAATTCTTGATGACTTTGGTTTCATAGTATTTCTACTCCTGGCCCAGGATTTTGAGGGTTCTTCTCATTTTTTTGCTTATTGTTGGATGTCTGTTGCCTGCTTGGGTAGTGCAATATAATGTAATGATGTTCAAAACATATTACAAATATAAATTTAAAATTAAAGATGAATTTCTGAATCGATAAAAGAGAAATGTTGCTTGACTATGTATTTTGTTGAATAATTGAATAAATTGAGAGTCTGATTTTTAGCAGCAAAACAAGGAAAGATTGTATTTTAAAAGTAAATAGCAGCAAGCTTTCAAAGAGAAGGAAAACATTTTGGTTTGGTTTGGTTTTTTCCAACCAGCATAATTTTGTTGCCAACATCTAATATAGATGGCTAACAAAAAACAATAAAACTCCAAATCAACCTCACTTAGGAATAAATCAGTATAAGCAGAGACAGTACAAGCGAGAGTCATTCGAGGGAGGCAGGTGGACTTTCTCTATTGGTGTCATTTCTTACTACACTAGAGTAAAGAAAGTGTGTGCTGTTCTTAAAGAATGAGGTAGACTTTTATATGTAAATATGGAAAAATACCACCCATATGTATTGTAAATTGACACTTAACCTTCACGACATGTAAGATGCGGAACTAAATATAGTATGCTTCTATTTGTATAAGAAATTTTTTCATCTTTATCTCTCTTACTTTCTAAATAAACTATATTTTATAATCTAAAAAAAAAAGAAAATTTTTCTCCCTGTGGAGAAATATGTGTGCATGTATGTGCACATATAGTTATGCTTGTGTGTAAAGAACATTTCTTTAAGGAAGATAGCAACTTTTACAATGATTGACTCCAGAAGAGGGAGACAAAGGATTAGATTAGATGGGGAGATACTGGTTTTTAAAAACTTTTTGTTACTGTTTGAATTTTTACATCATGTGCATGTAATTTTTCAAAAATTAAATGAGTTTTAAAATGTCAGTTCTGTATCAAAATAACTTCACAAAAACTTTAGTAACTAATTCTCCCATCTTGTTAAACTATCATTGGTAAGTGTAATGAAGTGTGATGAAGGGAACCTTAGGGCCAGCCACTGGCTCTAGGGACCTGTAGTTGACAGCAGTTAGATTGTGCTGTTTGTGATTAATGACAATTTGTCCATCTACCTAGTCACTAGAAATCATTGACAAAAATAAGTAACTCTAGCACCAGTGCAGGCTATGCTATTTAGAACTACCTTATGGAGACTTATTGTTTAAAAAGTGTGTAATATCTAAATTTTAAAATTATAGAATAAAATAACTTAAAGCATTTACTATTTTAAATTATTGACCTACTAGAAATCTAAATGAAAATATAAAGGATAAATGTTGCAATTATTTGTCTGTAACTATTAAATTTCTCAGTTTATCCAAATTTTACAATTCATAATACATCTAGTTATAATACAGTTAATAAACAGTTGGTTTTCTTTATGTGTCTATCCTCTGAGGGTATTCAAACCAAAAGGATTTTTTATTTTCTGATTTTCTTTTTAAAGTACAACTGTCAGATTTTTTCTGGGCCCCAGTCACTCTATTTAAATAAGAAAGGAACTGAGGTTTCTTTATGCTTCCCCCATATCATTTTATTATCAGCAATCATTGTTATTATTGTCTGGATTATATGTATGGTCTTATAGTCAAACTAGAAATTAAAAATAAAAGAGATAGGAATAGCTAATATACTGGTTCGCATAGAGCTTGGTATATGATTTCACATATTTACAAGTTAATTGAAGGTATTCCATGATTGTTTTCTTAATATACTTAAAGTGCGTATAAAGCACTTATCAGAAGGTGTTCATCAAACCATTAGAATCAAAGTTGTCTGCCTCAAGTATAGGCAGAAACTAACTTGGTGGTTTAATTATTGCAGGTGGGTCTTGTGGTTCACGTCATGACCAGTTTTGAAGATGCTGACACAGAAGAGACAGTAACTTGTCTCCAGATTACTGTTTACCATCCTGGCCAGTTGCAAAGTGGAATATTTCAATCAATACGGTTTTATAACCGAGAGAAACTCTCTTCCAGTGAAGTGGTGAAATTTGGCCGAAATTCCAATATCTGTCATTATACTTTTCAGGACAAGCAGGTTTCCCGAGTTCAGTTTTCTCTGCAACTGTTTAAAAAGTTCAACAGCTCAGTTCTGTCTTTTGAAATTAAAAATATGAGTAAGAAGACCAGTCTGATTGTAGACAGTATAGAGCTGGGCTACCTGAATAAAATGGACCTACCATACAAGTGTATGGTCAGATTCGGAGACTATCAGTTCCTGATGGAGAAAGAAGATGGTGAGTCATTGGAATTTTTTGAGACTCAATTTACTTTTTCTCCAAAATCGCTCTCACAAGAAAACAACTGGCCACCACACAAGCCCATACCTGAATATGGCAGTTACTCATCCTGTTCCACCCAGAGTTCATCTCCTACTGAAATGGATGAAAATGAATCATGAACACAGTGGGTCCAAGAGGAGAAAACTGCAGGATGAAGAGCTCTGTAGACACTTCATAGATGCCACTTATGAAGAGTTTATTTGTGTAGTATATTATAGTCATCTGTCATGCTGTCACTTTTGTAATTTAGTATTATCATTTTGAAGTTTGAAAATTGTGTTAGTCATCAACTTAGTCACCTGTTGTATTCCTTGATCTACAAAGAATTATTCTGAGTGCTTATCTGTGAAGGTTAATATACAAAAATATCCTTTGTGATGAAATAGTGTTCTCAAAAATCAGTTTGTTATTTTCTTTTTTTCCTGCTCAATTTTTGTCTTGTGTTTTGCCTTGTTTTTAAGGAACCATCTCTTCATTTGGTCATATCATTCTGTAGCAGCCATTTGTTTTCAAAGTCAAGGCTACAGGCAGGTTGTTACTGGCATTTGTAGCCTGTTGGTACTTGTATTACCAGAGTACTGGAATACATCCTAGACACTATAATGTCTGTAAGTCACTGTGGTTTTAATATAGGAAGACTTCTTTGAGAAATAATACCTTGCTTTTCTATTATTTTCTTTCTATAGAATTGTAGAGTGTTTATTTCTAAGAAGATGGTTATGTGTCTATATTTGGCATCCAAAACCAATATTTAAACATTTTAAAGAAACACTGCGTTAAGTCTAGCATTATTTTCTTACCAAACATATACAGTTTTTAAATTCCAAGAATTCACATTTTCAACAGCATCCGTGCACATAATAAAGTCAGGCTTAATTCGCCAACCATTTCCTTTGAAATTTTTTTCTAAAGAAGGTAAATAATTGTTCTTAGTTTGCTTTACATAGATAAATATATGTGAACATTTATAATAAATGCTTAAATATTTCTAAAATTTTATTTTAAAAAGTGTCTTTATTTTAAAAATTTTCACTCAATTCATTTTGACTAAGGCAGTTAGTAAAGGTTAAATAAATAATGGTAACCATTTAGTTTAGTTAAATTCAAGCAATCCCAAGTAGCGTACAATTTTTGAAGTAAATGAAATGTCTGTAGTAAGGTTCATATTTTTGTGAACTTCCTAAAATACTTTTGTAAACTTTCCAATGTCTTACCAAAAGAGGTGGTAAACCTTTTCTTGAGTCAAAAATCAGTCACTTGTGGGCTATGGTGTGTGATGTCCAGCACCTCAACCCCCATTCCCTAGCCCTGGGACTATTCTAGTAGAGTGAGATACACGTCCCTACACAAAGTGGCCTGAACTGACTATTTCAGTTTCCATGTACAGGTTTCCTGTTTACTCCCTGCAGTAGGCAGAGTAATGGCCCATCCAAAGATGTTCATATGTCCATGTGCTAATCTCCAGAATGTATGTCTATATTGTTACATGACAAAAGGGAATTGAGGCAGCAGATGGAATTAAGGTTGCTAATCAGTTGACCTGAAAAAGATTATCCAGGATTATCTGGGTTGCTAAATTAATCACAGGGCACTTAAAAGTAGAAGACAGGCAGATCAGGATATCAGGGTGGTGAGGTGTGAGAAGGACAGGACTGACTGTTGCTTTGAGGAAAGCAGCATAAGCCAAGGAATGTGGGCGTCTCTTGAAGCTGGAAGAAGTGCGTTGGACATCTAGAAGCTAAAAAAGGAAAGAAAAAAAAAAACCTCCAGAAATGAACGAAGTCCTATGAACACTTTGATTTTAGTTCAATGAGACATGTTTGACTTGCTAGCTTACAAAACTTTAAGATAAATTTGTATTGTTGCAAGCTACTAAATCACAGTAATTTGTTACAGCAGCAAATAGAAAATATAGCCCCCTTGACTAAAGGTTATTTACTATCAGTTCTTTCTAGGATCATAGCTTGCTGACTGATGTGAATTTACGGCTAAATCACCCAGATTGTTAGGACTGCTTACAGAGTATAGTTTCGTGGCAAGCGCTTTCTATGAGTCAAGGACACATACTTTAATGTGTGCATACTATTGCATTTTCATCATTTTAGAATATGTTAATTTCTGCTTGTCTTTGAGGCTGATGGATGAGTATCTAAGCTACAAAGTTTTAATATTAAGAAATTCATGTATCATTGTTACCGAACCCAAACAATGTGATAAGTGATGTTTAGGGTCATAAAAATGTCATGTTTATATAAAATAATGATTTCTCCTGCATATTCTGGAAAGGGCTTTAACTTTAGAAAGTTTAATTTTTCTGTATTTTTTTTCCTAACAGATTGGCAAAGGAGAGAGTGGGTTGCTAAATAGTAATTTATCATAGTTCTCCAAAGAGCAGAAATGTTTTTCATATACATTACTTTTCATTTCCAATAATAAATAATAATAAATGCTCCAATAATAAAGGAGCAATAGGTTAGCATTAGGGTTGTTTTGGTTACCCAGTATAGAATCGCTGTCAGAGCTACCCAAAGACAAAAGGGGGTTGTTAGAGAAAAGGTGACTATCTCAGAACCCAAGGAAGGAATGCAGCGAGATTCAAACACCTTTAGCTCTGCCCATCAAAGCATATTGACTTCATGACCACGTGTAGCTCTCAAGTTTTTTATTTTTGTTTTTTTTTTGAGTTGGAGTCTCACTCTGTTGCCCAGGCTGGAGTGCAGTGGCATGCTCTGGCCACTGCAGCGTCCACCTGCTGGGCTCAGGCATTCCTTCTGCTTCGGCCTTCCAAGTAGCCGGAACTATAGGCATGCACTACCACGCCTGGCTAATTTTAGATTTATTGTAGAGACGAGATCTCACCATGTTGCCCAGGCTAGTCTCGAACCCGCAGGTTCAGGCAATCCTCTTGTCTCAACCTCCCAAAGTGCTGGGATTGCAGACTTGAGCCACTGCACCCGGCCCAGCTCTCAAGTTTTACATGTTATTGATGCCCCAAAGAGAATCTGATCTCCCAGTTCCAGGAAAGGGGCAGCCTGAGGATGCCCACCCTCCACCAATCAACTCTCTTCAGGCTCTGGTCAGTGAGCATCTGGAGAGAAAAGCATTTTCGCAAAAAACAGTGACAATGGGGTTAGGATGGGGGCAGTTAAAAGTATTGGTAGCTAAAATGCTGAATTTTCAGTATACACCTTAAGGACTCATTCGTCCCAGGAAATTGATTTTTCTAAGTAGAGATGTGTATTCATCAGTGAAAATGTTACATTCTTTGGCAATCTCTTTTTAAAATGTTCTTTTAAAATGTTTTTGTAGAGATAGGGTCTTGCTATGTTTCCCAAGCTGATCTCAAACTCCTGACTTCAAGTGATCCTCCTGCCTTGAAATAAATAATGGAACTACCAGACATGAACCACCATGCCTGACCAGCAGTCTCTTCTCGAACCTCCAACTTTATAACATGATTGTGCTTTCCGATGGGGAAATCTCATATGCCATAATTATATAACTATTTTCTAGAAAATTGTTTCCACTAATGCATTAACTGATTTGAAGCATTACTTTTGCAATCTAAAAGTGGTGGTATTTGTTGCAATGGAGGTGGAATTATGTGTTCACCTAGCCTTTATATTTTAAAAATAACATTTAAAATAGATAATTCAATATAAATAATATATAAGCCTTATGGAAAAATTATCCATGATCTTACCACCAAGAGATAACTCCTGTTAATATTCTGTGTGTAGATGTGGTGGCATCTTCTATGTTATCTCCTGGCCCTTTTTGTTTTTTTAGTTCTCTAACACTTGTTTAATTCCTTATATTGTTACTCGTTAAAATAACAGGTGTGGTTATTACTTTACTAAGTGCACCATGATTGAAACCATCCAAGCTCCCAGTTTAGGTGGTGACCAAGGATGGGCATTATGAAAAGTATGGTTGGAATTTACTGGGCTTTAGTTGGTATGAGTTGTCCCCAGATCCACTCACTCATCACTCTACGATTCAACATACGTGAAAAGATTGATTTAGCCTTGTGGCTCTTAAGCAATGAATTTAGGGTGCAGAGCACTGGTAAAGAAACTGGGAAAGCCGTGATTTCAGCTCTGTTGGTTTCATTATTTTGTTGCTGAGGGAAAGCTACTAAGAGATTAGAGATGAACCACTTTGGCACTGCTTGCTGGCATCAGTAAAATCACTGCTCAAAAGCCAAAAATCAAGATAATGACATTTTCTTCTTTTTGACTAGTCAAGTATAGTTTAGACTAGTCTGAAGAGAAGAAAGACTAGAACAAGGAGCTCGATCTGTATCTATGAACAATTAATTGCGGTAAGGTGATAGTGACAATTTAAAACAAAACTTCTGACTTAGTAACAATAAGGTATGACAATGAAACCTCACCTTAGGTCAAAGTGCCTTTTAATGATAACAGATAACTTTTGGTATCTTAAAAGTTCTTCAGTCCTCCAAAGTTAGGTTAGATACATTTTTAAAAAAACATATTTAACATTTTAGATTCAGGGGTATGACGTATGTTTGTTACACAGGTCTACTGTGTACCAGTGGGGATTTGGCTTCTGATTTCCCCACTCCCCAAGTGAACACTGCACGGTAAGTAGTGTTTAAACCCTTGTCCACCTCCCTCTTTTTGGTGTCCCATGTCTGGTATTTCCATCTTCATGTCCATGAGTACCCACTGTTTAGTTCACACGTATGAGAACATATGGTGTCTAGTTTTCTGTTTCTGAGTTAATTCACTTAGGATGATGGCCTCCAGCTCCATACATGTTGCTGCAAAGAATGTTATTTCATTCTTTTTTATGGCCATAGTGTATGTACCTATAACATTTTCTTTATCCACTCAACCATTGGTGGATACTTAGGTTGGTTCCATGACTTTGCTACTGTGAATAGTGCTGTAATGAATATGTGAGTGCAGGTGTCATTTTTATATAATGATTTTGTTTCTTTTGTGTAGACACCCAGTAATGCGATTGCTGGTAGAAACACTTTTTCTAATAGCTAAGTGAAAAATCCCCCAAGCCCCTCCAAACTCTCAAGGAAATACTGACCTAATGTCTACAGAAAGGAAGTATTGTATAGCGTTGAATGTGGATTCTGAATCATATTGCCTGGGTTTATCTAGCATTGCTTGTGTAGTTTGACACTAATTCAGACTCCTCTTCTGAAAAACAAGGATTAAGAGAGTGCCTCTTTCATAGGATCTCTGTGAAGATCAACTGTGATATGGTATGTAGTCTTCTTACCAGTGTTAAACTTAGTACATGTTATTCTGAATGGCACTGAGCAGTGAGGTCCTTAGATTTAATGGCCACATATAAAATATTTCTGAGCCACATACAGAAGACATTATTCTCTCTGGCTGTCAGGGTAAAAGAAATCTTCCTTAAATTATATTAGTAGCATTCATATAATTTATTTTGATACCATTTTTCCAATTTAATTTAATTTCACCTTTAATATTTCCTAGGGAGTTAAGAATCAGATACAGGAAATCAGTTTCTCTCAGAATTCTTTCATGATCTTTACTGTCACATAATTCACCAGAGGAACCATGTAAATAAAGCTGGGAAAACATCATAAATTTGTTATAAAATTGTTATAAAATCATAACAAATTATAGTTGTTATGAAATCATTTTAGATGTCTGTATTCTCAAGAAATTATAATTAGGACATTTAACATAATTAAAGTAAAAGCTCTGGCCTATATGAAAAATATGTATTTTTCCAATTACTAAAAAAAGAGGAATAATTCTAAATTATATCATTTTAGAAGTTCTAACAACTTAAGTAGAAACCCTTATATAACCCCACATCCCCCTACAGCTACCCCATTTCTCTGCTGACAATAAAACTTCAAACTGTCTTCACTAAGCTGTTCTCTACTCCTGTTTCTATTGCCTCATTTGTATAACATACCATTTTCAAAAGATGTTCCCCAACCCAACTAACGTGCCTGTCCTCGTCTCAGTCTTGTCCACCTCTCTTTTCCTGGCATCCCTAACACCACATTCTCTGGTTCCCTGTATTTCTCTTGTACCTATTTATTTTGGTTGTTTCTCCACCACCAACCTCTAAATGTCAACACTTTGCTGGGCTTCTCTCCCTATGTACTCCCCTGGGGTGAACTCAGCAGGTATAAAGACTTAAAATATCATTTACCTACTAATAACTCCCAAACTTGTACCTAGACCTCTTTCTTGTGCTGCAGACAAGCATCCCATCACCTGCTTGACATATTTCTGCAAGTATCTTCTAAACACCTCTGATTTGACTACCTAAACCTAACTCTTAATTTCTCCCATTTTCCCAAACTTGTTCTTCCCATTATATTTACCAAGTCAAGTCAGAAGCAAGAAATTATAGTCAAGGGCAGTTGCAGCTGCTAGATTGGCTGTCACACCACTGTAGATTTGGTCAGTAGGGAAACAATGAGTCCAAATAGTTTCAGAAATTTTATTATTTACACAAATAGCAAAAGCAATATCAGCATGGAGTCAGCTCCCCTGCCTGCATCCTTGGCCCTGAGGGATGGCCCTGGGATGATACTGAACCAAGGCCTGGTGTCAGATGACAAGACAACTCTAAACTATAGCCAAGCATATTCATAGTCCGTATCTGTGCCTGAATGGGGCAAAGTCACTGGAACAAGAGGGCCAGATGAGAACTTGCCTCATGGTGGCCTCTTGCAAGCTAGGGAGATACATGACAAATGGCCCTATGACAGCTCCTTTAAGACTGCTTATCTTGCCATGGAGCATCATGGGGCTTTCTACCAAGACTTGTGTCACACTGTAGTTGAGTCTTGCCTATGTGCAGTGAGCAACGTAGCCAAGGCACCGTGTCAGATTTATTATCCTACACTCGTATCTCCGATTCCACCCCTTCTTTCACCCTCATATCCAACCCATCTGAAAACCTTGTTGAGTCTACCTCTGAAACAAATCTGGTCTGCATTTCCATCGCCATTGTATATCCAAACCACACCACATCCCCCTGGGAGTACCATACATCTTCTCTTGCCCTCTTACAATCCATTCTCTACACAGCAGCTAGAGTAATCTTTTGAAAATGTACATCTGATTACTGTACATCTTGGGTTACAAAAAATGTCAGTGGCTTCCTATTACACAGCAAATAAAATTAACTCTTAGCCCCAAAGTCTTGCATGATCTTGCCCTTAACTATGCTTCCAATATCATATCATACTGCTCTTCCTTCTCACTTGTGATGCTTTAGATCCAGTGGTCTTTTTACTGCAGAACATACCCAACTCTTTCCCACCTCAGGGAGCTTGCTGCTTCCTTTGCTTATAACATGCTTCACACGAGGCTTTTTGGTCTGATTCCTGCTCAACAGTCAAGTCTCAGCTCAAACATCTCCTCAGAGGGATTCTCGTGACCTATTAAATGTAGTCAATTATAGATATCATTTTGTATATTTCTTTACTGTGACCTGTGATTTTATTTATATGTTAACTTGTCTGTCTCTCTCACCAGAATGGTAAGCAAATGAGCAGGGACCTTGTATGTCTTTTTACTGCGATGTCTCTTACACCCAGTCAGACACAGTAGAATAGTCCAGTGATACTGGAATACCATTGCTTTCCTAGCTTATTCGCTTTGTCTTCATATCAGATTTAATAAGTGTAAGTCAGAAGTCAAAATACTTGCATGTTTATGCAGTAAAACTAGTAATAGTCAAATAATTTATTACCTTCAAATGTAAAAATGTGTTTATTCACAATCCTTGAGAAGTTACCATTCCTTCAAAAAATTCTTTATGAACAAAAAGCCAAGAAAAATTACAATAGTAGCTTATGTCAAACCAAAAATATACATTTCATGTGTACAAACTTTAAAAAGCATTAACACAGGCAATATAATGTAGATTACCTTTAAAATATTTGCAATGACACAGCTACAACTTAAATTATGTTAAGACAGATATAAATAATAGCACTACTTAATGGACTATATTTACATATTTAAAGTGTCATATTAGTTTCTATGAGATAGAAAAGGAGAAAAACTACATATGTCATTGCTTAGCAGTTCAAATATTGAAAGGGCCACATGATTTGTTTTTAAGTACAGCAAGAACTTTAAGTTATTACTATTTATATCTGGACCTTCCTATATTCATAAAAACATGCACTGTCATTGTTGCAAGAGAAAGAAAAGAAAATACCACCAAGGAAAATGAAAAACAGTTTGCTTACTAAAATCATACCCATTCCTCAGCAAAATCAAGGAAAGCAATTACAGAGAGGTTTATATCCCTGGCCTTTTATAGTGAAACATAAATTTTAGAGAAGAGTTAATTGTCTACCACAAAATGCAGTTATATATATTGATATACTTAGTTCCATCCCATTAAGCACCTTGTACTACAAGGCAAAGGTAAGATCAATAAAATCAATGGAGCCTTTCATACCAGAAAGGATTTTATTGACTTTGACATACCCGTATTACCTTTTTAGGTTCTCCTTTCTTAAATCGTGCAGAGAATATGTTCTGTGTAAAATCTATCTAAGATCATTTACTGGAAATACAGAATTTTTAAAAAGTAATGGCACCTAAAAACTGAATACTCTATATCAATTAACTTAAAGTCAATACAGTGGTATGTAAAATGATGTGAAAAAGTCTAATATATATGTATATTTTCTTAAGTATTATTTTGATTACTACCAATTTAAAATGTCCAAACTCGGAAAGTTTACTTTTATCATATTATCCTTTGTTCAGATTGAATCAACATTATCATACTAGAATATGTAGTAAGTGTAGTAAGAAACCAATTGATCAGCATTTCTTAGAGTCATCTATTCAAATTAATTGTGCTTACCATTAGATAATAAAATTCAAAGAAGTTACAGAAATAAATAATGCTGAAAAAGGGAACATTATTCTAAATCTGAATCTGACAATCCCTCCTCATGCTCCCTTCACATCTGCTGAGAATTAACAAAAAGTCTTAATATTTCCATAGATAGTGAAATAGGCTTAATAAAGCATTCAAACTAAAATTAATAACAAAATCTTTTAAAGTGGAAATCTACAATAATAAACAGGACTGCTATAAAGAAAAGAGTTAAAATAAATCTACTTGGTAACATGACAGGACCATTAAATTGGTCTTGAAAAGCAGAAGGCAGATGATGAAATTGCACTTAATTCTGAAGCAGTTCAGATCTATCTTTTTCTCCTCTACTCCTTTCTAATAAAATAAGCATTTACAATATGGTCTCTTACCTCCCCCTTACAAAAAGGCTCAGCACAACCACTTATACATTCTAGTGGTTTTTAACATTTGGTCATAACTGATAAACAGGGTCACACAATTTTACCCTATCGAGTCTGGTGATCTGCGTCAGAATGCCTTATACTAGAATCAGACAGTTCTAATACAGGATTTACAAATCCAGAATACTCGGAATTTCCATTGTCATCCATTTCGGCACTAACAAAATCATTCTCCCACTCCAGCCCATTGGAATCATCAGAGGCTGATGTAGGATTACTTCCAGTCTTCTTGCTACTATGCTTAAGTGCTGCCCGGAGAATGTCTTCCTCTGTTTTGGAACGTTCTCTCATCGGAAGCATTCTATTCATTCCTGTGATTTGAACAGAGTTTTTAGAAATCTCAGTGAAGATAAGCTGTATTAAAACTCTTCCAAATTTAGCAATATGGTTTTTATTTAGCTGTCAGACTTGGTTTGTGATTTAACATAGTGAGCCAGTCCCATGGAAGACTTCTATAGGGAAACTGTTAGGGTCTAATCCTGAAGTAGGCCTCATGTAAAAATAAACATTAATACTCACCAAAAGGCAGTTTTGATACAACTCTGAGCATCTAATAAGATGAAATGTCTAAAATACCATAAATAAAATAAATAGAGGATTTCAATTGCTATTAGTCTTTAATGGTCAAATCAGTATGTCTGCCGTGGTCCTTTCCTACCTAGATGATGATTTCTTTTCCCAGAGGATAATAATCACTCTGGTGACAAAGATAACAACATACGCTTTCCCAGCACTTACTAGGTTACAGTTTATGCAGCATGTACTTTATTGAATCCCCAATAACTCTATGACCTGTGTGTCACACAGCTAAAAAGTGGCAAAGCAAGAATTTTAATCCATTCAGTTTGGCTCCAAAGTCGGTGGTCTTATAGAATTCTGACTTCCTACCACAACAGGGGAGATGTTTCAATGGGAAATTGTTCTAGATCTAATTCTGAACAAAATGAAATTGGTTGTTAAAATGAAAGTGTCAACAATCTTGGAAGAAAAAAATGTAATTTTATTGGCAGAAGGAAGGAAGAGAAGACAGAAAAGAAATTTGTATTTGCAAATACAGGATCAACACTGGTAACAATTAAAATCTAGGATTGGCAAAGAGATTACAAAAGACTATCTCTAGACACATTTAATAATTTTATTTCTTGGCATTAAATAATTCAATCCCACCATAATAAAAGACCATTTAATCCTGTATCACTGTCTTCTGTCACTCCTGAAAAATCACACTCAAATTAGTAAAGCAAGTTCTTTGAGACAAGATAAAAATACGAGCTAGATATTAACATAATTCTGTGGGTTTGTATCTAGTAGATTTGTTTCTGTGGATTTATGTCTAAAAGAAACTGGATTGCACATCAACCTAGAAGCAGATTTCTTGTGGGCTCTTGTTTTCTACTTAGTCTAGTTTAATAATTCTGTTAATAACTTGAATAATGACCTATAAAATCAGACCATATTATCTACAAAATCTGACAGCATGGATGACAGGAACAGTAATATTAAAAGACCTGAAAGGCTTAGATTGATTGAACAAGATGCTAAAACCATAATAAATTTAAAGTCTGATGGGATCTAAATATTCAATAATGTAAGTGCCAGATTGGGGAAACAGTGTTTAGCTGAGAAGACTTAAAAAAGTTAATGTAATATTTGACAGTTATTCAAGTTCCCTGTATGTCTGTTTCCTTGTTAATAAATCAAATAGGTTGACTGGAGGATATTTAAGGTCCATTCCGTCTCAGAATTCTATGAAATATTTAATGCTTATTATTTTTCTTAAAGTTCATATTCTATAATCAAATTTTGGATTGCCCGTTTCTTAAAATGGAAATGAAAACGAGCACTATTCGGTGAAATAGCTTTTGTTAAAAAAAAAATCAACATTATATATAATTTAATCCTTGCAACATTCATTCGTTCATTTGTTCAAATATTTGTTGGTTACCTATTATGTGTCAGGCATTTTTAGACCCTAAATATACAATGAAAAATTATACTTTAAAGTAGGTTAAATATTCCTTTTACAATAAACAAACTGTGGGCACAAATAAGTAATCTGCCTAATGTACTACAGCTATGAAGACATATCAACTAAAATTCAAACTCATATCCAAGTTATAACTTCTGTTTTACAAAAAAACTAACAATTAAATTGTTAATTATAATAAACCGAAAGTTAACAGCTAACTTTAGACTGACCACAAGGGGGCAGTAATCCTTCATACTGAGTATCATGGCTGGATTACAAAAGCCTTAACTAACATTTTCTAAATCTCAAGAAACATTACAACTTTCTAAACAATTTAACAACAATAACAATCACTTATATATAACAGTCTTAAAAAATGTTTATATGATTTTTCAAGGCCTTGCGTTTACTTTTGTTTAAATAAAGTAAAAGACCAAAGTAGAAGATGTATATAATTATATCAGTACGGATTGAGTTAAACTTTTTAGGTAAAATTGTGAATTATAAAATACCTTCTTCATCTTCCCACTCTAGATCTAAGGATGTGCTGTCATCATTTCCACTAGTTGATTTAGTTTTGGTCATTAAATCACAACTGCTTTCTGTATTTGGTGTCAAAACTGTAGCATCTGATGAGAGTCCTAGAATATATACCAAATACAATTGAATACTCTCATCTGTACTCTTTTACTACAACAGCCATTTTCTTTAACAATAGTTGTCTCTTTCTCAATGTTACTAGTCATTTTAAATTCATAAGAAACATTTCTGGAAATCAATACTTTGTCAAGTTTCTGTTAGGAACAGCATAAAAGAAAATTTTCTCTTTTTTTGCCATCTAAATAGAGCAGATATTCAAATTTAAATACACTATAAACTTTTCAAGTATGGTGAACTTTAGGTTATATCTTTAAGAGTCAATTACAAAGGGGGGAAAAGACAAACAAAAAGATAAAACAAAAAGCAGCCTATATTTTCAAAAGAAACTATCACTATGTTTCCACTACTGGGAAGCATGAGTTATGACTTTTGAAATTTGAGGAAACATTTTAAACTTATAAATCAATTTGTGATAAGTAAAAAATAAGTACACTTTTCTATTGCTTCCTTCCACCTTTCCATCCTTTATCTTGGAAAAGGGAGAGGTGGAATTAGAGTAAAAATGAAAAAAAGAGTGCTTGACTTCCTATATGGATCTACAAGAATAGCCTGAGATTTTTCTTTGTTCCAACTCCTTCTTAAAAAGAAAAGATGACAGGGCCTGGTGGCCCACACCTGTAATCCCAGCACTTGGGAGGCTGAGGTGGGAGAACTGTTTGAGCCCAGGAGTTTGAGACCAGCCTGGACAACATAGCAAGACCTCGTCTCTACAAAAAAATTAAAAATCAGCCAGACACGGTGGCATGCACCTGTAATTCTAGCACTTCTTGGGAGGCTGAGGATGGAGAATCTCTTGAGCCCAGGAGTTTGAGTCTGGGGTAAGCTATGATCATACCACCACATTCCAGCCCTGGTAACAGAGCGATACCCTGACTCACTAAAAAAAAAAAAAAAAAAAAGCATAATGGATACTTTCTGAGAAATTGGCCTGTCTGGAAAAGACAAGTTAAAGGGCAGGAAGTTCCATAGAAACAGAGCCAGAATCTCTATCTGTTTCCTGTGGCATTACAAAACTTAAAATGTACAGAAAATACTTTATAAGACTTACTACTACTTCGAAAAACTTCATACTGTGACTTTATATTTCTCAAACAAGATTCAAAGTCATCTTCTGGTCCTGAACTGTAATAAGAGTGAAATACCTTTTAAATATGGTCATAGTATATACAACATAAAAAATGCTTAATTTAATGATAGCATTTGGTTTGAAGGCCTATCTCACACAAATTCATAAATGCTGTTCAATTAAAATAACCTAATGATAATACATCTTCTTTTTCTTAATGCTAGCACAAAACTGAAAGTAATAAGATTCTGGTTAATCTTGAAGTCAAATCAAAGCCTAGCTATAAATCCAACTTTACATTTTACAATAATGAAGCATGAACAAGGTTCTCTGAATGAGTAGTGACACTTGTAGAGATGCAACATCAAAATATCTCTTCCAAAAAATGAACACACATAAACTTTATTAAAAGAAAAAAGAAGGACTACGGAAAACACAAATAACTCACTTGAAGGCATTCAGCTACTGCATTATTTTCTATACATGAAAGATGTGACCACTCTTAAAAATTCAGTGAAATCAATTTAAATAAATAATGACCACTTTTCAACTTAAAGAAAAAAAATATTCTCAGTATTCTTCCAAGACAGTGGCTTTTAGAAGGAATAATTTTAAGGGAACACAAAAACATGGATATGTACACAAACATCCTGAGATGAACTGTACCCTATGTGGAAATCAAATTTTCTACCACAAAGGAAAGAAATATGTTTCATTATTTACCTTTGATATTCTCCATTGTTGAAAGGATGGTATCGCTGTACAACTCTCTGCCTTTCTTGCTTTGAAAACATAATGTAATACAAAATTACTCTTGTAAAATTATGTTTTTTTAAGCCACTCATGCAATACCAGAAAGCATTTTTTTTCTAGTTTCTAAAAAGAAATCTTAAAGTTATTCTGTTGAAGTCTTTTCCCTTAAATTCATCACTATTCAATTCTATATCCTCTTATTATTTTTCTTATAATTATTCTAAATTTATCACTGTAATAATCCATAAGTGGTCAGAATAATCATAGTGTTGTTAAAAAATAATTTTTTAAACAGATACATATTGGTATCCTCACATTCCTAGCACTAAAAACTTCCTAATAACTGGAAGGATGAGGAACAGGAAAGGAATAGTTAATACAATGAAGTTCCTTTCTGGGTAAAATAAATATTAATAAAACAAAAGACTTATAAGACCTGGTTGAGTTGACATAGAAATAATAAAAGCAATTGACTAGGATTCTGAAGAATTATCAGTTAAGGCTCTGAGAGTTATTAGCTATGTATCCCTGACAAAGCCTTTACCTTCTGTTTTCTCAACTGTAAATGATGGCTATATTACTGCCCTAGCAAACTTGGGTTTGAAAATCAAATGAATTGGTGGATGTCTGTATATATCTGTGTGTAGGTAATGTTGTACAGATTTTAATGTGTTCCTATATCAAACATTTAGTCAGGGAGGAGAACCCTGGAAATCACCCAAATGCATATGGAATGCTTTGTCTTTAAAAGGCAGGCAGGAGACAATTTATTATAGTAAAAGAGTATCTATATTATAACCAGAAAATTCTCTTGTTTCTTTTTTTTTTTTTTGAGTCTGAGTCTCACTCTGTGCCCAGGATAGAGTACAGTGGCACATTCATGGCCACTGCAGCCTCAACCTGCTGGGCTCAGGTGATCCTTTCACCTCAGCCTTCCAAGTAGCTGGTACCACAGGCATACGCCACCATGCCTGACTAATTTTTTGATTTATTGTAGAGATGAGGTCTCGCCAAGTTACCCAGGCTGGTCTCAAACCCGTGGGATCAGGTAATCCTCTCACCTAGACCTCCCAAAGTGCTGGGATTATAGGCATGAGCCACTGTGCCCGGGATACTTTTATTTCTTAGTAGAAGGTGCAAGTTAATTTTCAAACTTTCCCATTATTTAGAATTGCTCTTAAAAAAAGACATTTCCCCATATAATTTAGTTAATCTGCTGAAAACACCGGACAAAGAGAGAGAGAGAGAGAGAGAGGAAAAGAAGGGCGGGGAAATGGGTGGAGAAGAAGGAGGCTGGGGAAGGATATAGTTCACATAGGAGTCATATAACAATAGGATAAATATGATTTTTCAGTTTTGCTAAGTTTTATTATGTGACATGATTTTCATACTACTTCAATTAACTCTACAGTAGTGAATCCACACAGGCAAAAGATGGAGGAAGATACTATGTAGGATACTGGCTAATAAGCACTGTTGTGCTTGGACTCTGGCTCTGCCATTTATTAGCTGTAGGATCTCACATTACAAAACATAACTGTCCCTGAGTTTCCGCATTTATAAAAGAGGGATTAAAAACACTATGTATCTCCTAAGATGTTGTGAGGATTAAGCAAGGTAAAACATGTAAACTACTTTGAACAGTTCCTGACACTTAAGCTAGAACTACATAAATGTCTGTTATTTATAACTGTCAGGCATTATGGTAATGTCAAACATATTACCATATAGCATAGCAAGATATGGAAAATCTGTTGACTTCTCTGATAATATGCCAATAATTTCTCAAGACCCAAACTCCCAATCTTCCAAGGACACAAGAAAAAAGATGAGAAACAAACAGTATCTTTATGGGGCAAAATCATGGAGCTTATCCAATTCTCAGAAATATAAAAAAATTCTAGCAGTTTAAGAAACTGTTAAAACAAAACAAAACAAAAAATCACCCAAACCTCACAAAACAACACAAAATGCTTTGCAAATTATATTTAAAGGTTAGTTTTGGAATGTTTTCCCTCTTTTAATTCTTTTAAAAGAATACTGAATTTTGTAGCATTAAAATTTATTTTCAGGATAAATAAAGGTTAGCATCTGCTAATCTAAATAGCACTGAGTATCAAGCATATAATTTGATGTTATTTCTAGAGGTCAAATATTGATTGACTAATTTGCCTTTACAATTCTTAAAGATCTACGCATAATAAGTACATTTGCTGTTAAACAAGAAGGCTTTGATTCTAGGGGGGAAAATGTCCCAACTAAGATTTGCCAGAGAAAATAAGGAGAAAAGCAACCCTAATATATGTTGGGGTCTTTTCCCCTCACCTCCAAGAGCTTTCGCTGCTTTGCTGCCCTGGCTGCTTCACGCTGTGCAGCGTATAAAGCTTCTTCTTCTAGTCTTAACTTCTCTTCTTGTAAGGCTAACTGTACATGAACAAAACGATAAGGATTAACAAAAATCAGAACCTGTCTAACTGCTCTAAAAAGAAAATATTTATATTTATAAAACAAAAAATAAATTATTAAAAAATAATCGATCTCTACAAAGCATAACAGTATTAAAATTTTTGTGATTGGTCATTTCATTTTCTCCTTTTACAAAATAACCCAAATTATACGAAACATTATAGAATTCCTTTGAAATGAGTTATGAAGCAGTAACATCTAATTTGTATAAATATAAAACTGTTTCTTCAGAAAATGCAATGATCTTCATTCTCAATAATCATTCCAACATCTATAATCCTGACTAGTTTAATGGCTTTGCCCCTCACAAATCCAAGATCTATAAAACAGATTATATCATTGTCTACCAAAGTAAACTAAGCTTTCATAAAATTCATGTCTTTCCAACTAATTAATATCAAAGCACATGTCCCCTTGATTTTACTGCTATCAAACTATTAAAAAATTGTTTTAAAATTTAAGTTCTTTCTATTCATAATAGCATACAAATTGCCCTAGTAATTGATATCTATTACATGTCAAAGCTAACTTAAAAATCCAATTTCAACATAATTTTTTTAGACAAATATTAGTCTATTGTGTACCATAAGTTGATGTTTTTGAAATCACTAGTTGGTACTAAATAGACAATTTTTAAATGTATAGTGGAATATGACTAATTCCATTTAGTTTAGTGATAGTAAAAACGATAATTATAGGCTATTTCTACAAACACATAAGTAACTATAACACTTATGACTGTTAGAAGTACTTAATTCACTGAAAACAAATAAACTTAAGACGAACAAAAACACAAAAAAACTCATTGTGAAAATGAGTAATTTTCCAAAAAGTTGGTTTTAGACATAAAGTTGCATATTCTTGCCAGAGTTACTACTTGTGAATTAAAAAATTATTGTTAAAAGAATGTACTATCTTTAAGGAAAAAAATTTTTAAATGTACTATCTTCATTTTTTGACAGCATATGATTTCTGATAAATTAAATCAAACTAAAAAACTACAAAAGGCTGGAATTTTTAAATTTTTAAATCATTTTCATCTGTATATATCTAAATGTAAGCCCAATGACAGAATACAATATATTATTTAATGACAACTCTCCCCTATAAATGAGGCTTCATGATAATATATATTAACAACATAAGACTATTATGTTCATAGACACTTACCTCTTTTTGAATTTTTTTATCAAGATCTTTCTGTTTTTCAGCAATAGAATCATAATGCCTCTCTTTTAAGTCAACAATTTCTTCCTCAGTAAGAGGTCTAGGGAAAAAACGGTGGCAGGGGAGAAAAAACTTCTGATGAGTCTGAGTCCAAATAAAATACTCACAAAGCCAGTGAAATTTTCAAATTATCCTGTCAAAACCATATTAACTTTGACACAACTTCAATGTTCTGAGTAAAAAGCATACATTCCAATACTTGCTATTATTCTAGTAGTGATCAAGATGATAACAGAGTAGTTTCTAACACTACGATCACCTTTTAAGAAATGGGGACTTTACAACATTTACCTTCATCTGGCTCTGATTCAGCCATCTAACCTACTGGTATACACTCTGAATCACATCCCAAAATGCTCATCAGAACATCAACTTCAGTACACTACACTCTGATCTCAGTCCTCATACCATTCTGGAAGCCTTAACCCTACTGTTCATCCTGCTCAATCACTGGTCTCCCCAGGCCCTTGACCCTTCCCTTTCCTCCTAGTATCTCTATCCCAGTCATCTTTTGGTTTCTCTTCCCCTACAATCAATGTGGACACCACAGCAGATCTGCACTACTTTTTTACCAACATACCCCACCTTCTTGCACACCTGTTGCTACACCTTATATACTCAGTTTACTCACATTCTAACCGTAGATCATTCCCATGATTAGCCCTTTCTGCTGTGGGCTGCTAGAGAAAATCCAGCATCCATTTGGCACTCAGCTCCCAGTAACAGTCCTTTTACATAAACATAGTAAATTTCTTCTCGCATCCTACACTAACTACTTCAAAATCTTCACATACTCCTGTTCCTTATTCAAACTTTTTTCTCTTAATATAAAATTTCACCCACTTAAGAAATATGAGTATCAGTCATGAATTTCCTCAACTTTTTACGATACCCCCACTCACTTAGGAATAGTCTCCCTATTCTTCTCCACATCTGCTAAAGAGGAATGTTCCTTAACTTGTTCAGGGTCACCTACTACACTTGCACTCTTGATTCATTCCCCACAGATGCCACCTCCCCTGCTCCACTCCAGAGAATTCTCTGGGACCTTGCTCCACAATCAGTACCCTCTTTTACCTTCAACCAATTCCTTTGGTCTGTTTTTACTTCTCTCACAAGTGAAGGAAGGAGGGAAGAAAGAAGAAAGGAAGAAAAAAACCTCCATTTGACCTGTATCTATTGCTCCCTTTCTCCTTTCCCTTTCAGCCAAAATTCCTGAAATTAAATGTGTAATATCAACAGTCAGAACATCTAGCACTTACTATGTACCAGGCTCTCTTCTAAATGCTTTACATATGTTAACTCATTTTATTCTGCCTAACAACCCTACAAGATCAATATAAAGATTATACACATAAGGAAAATGAGACGGACACATGAAAAGTGTGTCCAAAGTCACCATTATATGGCAAAGTTAGAATGTGAACTCAGGAGTCTAGCTCCTTGCTCTTTTTGAGTAGAAGTATCACTCTGTTGCCCAGGTTGGAGTGCAGTAGCATGCTCTCGGCCACAGGCGATCCTGTTACAAATAGCTGGAACCAACAGGTGTATGTCACCACACCCGGCTAATTTTTTGTTTATTGTAGAGACGAGGTCTCGCCAAGTTGCCCAGGTTCGTCTCGAAACCCTGAACTGAGCAATCCTCTCACTTTCACCTCCCAGGGATTATAGGGGTGAGCCACTGAGCCCAGCTACATCCTGGTTCTTAACTACTGTGCTTCTCTTGCCTTCATGTTCTTCTCATTCGCTCAACTTACTGCTGTCTACCTCTGCTCCCACCACTCTGGTAACTTTAGCAAAAGTAATCAGTAGCTTCTACATTGCCAAATACAAGAGACACTTTTAAGTCCTAGCTTATCACTTCAGTTTCTTGAGATAGTGTTGACCTATATTCACTCTAGTCCATCTGTCTGTCTCTTCTCCTATCTTGGCTTCCCATGCTCTCCCGGTCCTTCTTTTTGCCAACTTCTCGGTCATTTTCAGACTCCTCTCGTCGTGTCTGCCTGTTCAATCCCAGACCACTGCTTTCTCTTCATGTTCCAATTTCTCCACTTCTTCTCTCTCCAGATCCCTACCTCAGGTAGGTGATCTTGATAACCATCATGGTTAACTAAACATGTATAAGGTAATGTCTCCTACTTCCAGCTCTATCTTGTGCTTAAGGCTTTAAAAATTTTTTTGAATTATAACGTAAATATAATAAAATACAGATTTTAAGTGTTCCGTTCAAAAAGTTTTGACAATTGCTCACATTCCACCCAAAGCAAGGTACAGAAAATTTCCATCATCCCTTTCCAATCAGTTCTCTCATTTTGCTTATGCAATTTCTTCTGTTTGCAATGATCTCTCCCTCAGCCTGGCTAGTTACGACTAACCAGCCCTTCAAGGTGTTATCACTAAAGAAGTCTTCTTGAATATACCTTTTCATACACATTTTGGGCAAAGAGCTTCTCCTCTATAGTTTCCTAGCATGTTCTATAAATATCATTTTGTTGCTTTTCCCACCTCATATTGAAATCAGTCATCTCTTGAATATCCCTCCCTGACCAGGATGTTGTTTTTTCCAATGTGGAGACCACGTCTGATTTTTAATCCCTATGTCTAGAACAGTGCTTGGCACATAATAGTTACTTAAATGTTTGCTAAGCTAAAAAAAGTATGGAACACACATTCAAAATGTGACACAGTATCTGAAAATATTCTCTTAATATTAAAAACTCTCTTTTGACTTAAACATAGATGCTTCTTTTTCAGGCAGCACATGTAATTTTAATAAAATATAAATAGCTGCTTAAGTAAATTATAGTACAAGATTTTAGTTACTATTGAAAAATGTAAAAAAAAATTTGTGGTACCAGTTTTAGAATGTCATAAGGAAGGAAAGGGGGATAAAGTTTAAAAAGTTAAAAGAAATACACTTATCAATACTAAATGGTTTTATGAAAACTCAAGAACACATAACTCAGGTCCAATAGGAAAGCATCTAGGTACTTACATACAATAAATTATTTAATATTCAAAACAATCATTTAAGATATATATTATTTGCTTCCATTTTTTAGAAAGAAAAAACTATGGTTCTGAACATAAATTGTTCAATGTCTTAAAGCAAGCAAATGAATTCTTGGAGAGCATCTTACAGTTCACATGTAAGTATTTTATTTTTTTAAAAGCCTTACCTATGACTGCTTCCTGGGCTCTCCCCCTGTACAAAAATTAAACAATTAAAAAAATTTCACTAGTTGAATTCTATTTAAGGCAAACGAATAACATTTTTATTTAGTTAAGATATCTTCTATTTACCATTTTTATCACAGTAATGAAATTTTATTATTAAAAGTATTTGAAACAAAAAGCTTTAAACTTATTATTTCTCAAAGGCAAAATTTAGTTTAATATGAAGCTTAATTATATAATAACCACTTGCTGAACATATCTTAATTTTTTTTAAACAAATATTTGTTAAAAATGTCAAACTGGGGTCAGCAGGGTCCTCGACAGAGTATTCTCTATGTCCTCATTATTTATAGTTGATCCTCATTCTTCAAAGATTCTGTATTTGCAAATTCGCCTACTTGCTAAAATGTATTTGTAACACAAAATCATTATTTCCTGAGCGGTCTTGGTTATTGGAGCATGTGCATGGAGTTGTGAAAAATGTGAAGTGCCCGACAATGCACTTTCCCAGGGAAAACAGAAAAAGGTGACACTGCCTTCTTGTTTCAGCTCTCGTATTATAAACAAGTGTTCTTTTTACTGTCTATTTAGTGCCATGTTATTTGTATTTTTGTGCTTTTTTGTTGGTAATTTTGCTGTTTAGAATGACTTTCAAATAGTATTCTACATCTGAAGTGCTGTCTAGTGTTCTTAAGGGTAAGAAGGCTGTAATGTGCTTTATGGAGAAAATATGTGTGTGTTAGATAATCTTCTTTCAGGTATAAGTTAGTGCTGTTGGCTGTGAGTTCAAAGTTAATGAATCACTAATATATGTTAAATAAGGTATTTTAAACAGAAACACTCATAAAGCAAGGTTATATACTGACTAGTTGATGAACATGTCGTGACCAGAGGCTTGCAGGAAACCAATCCTGGACTGCCCCTAAGAGTAGTACGTCAGGATTCACTAATTTAGCAATTAGAGCGACTTTATAGAACATAATTACAATAAATAATGAGAAATAACTTTTTGTTTTCTTTCACAGGATTATGAAATTACCTATAGTTTTTCCCTCCAAAGCAAATCATAACTATTTGCAAGATTGATTCAGGTTTATGTATATTTCTTGTATATTTATATTATATACATTTATACTTATATATGTTTATATTTCTTTATATATTTAAACTGACAGTTAAAATCTATGACTAAGTTAACGGTAAAAATAAAATTCCAAATGTTCAATTAGTTTAGAAAATAGCAGTAAAAAGCAGAATGACATTCAGGTGAATCAAACACAAAATATGACACAAGAGAGGAAAAGAGTAGTTAGCAAAAACAAAAATAAACAAAAAACCCCTCAATCAACCAAACAAATAAAAAGCACCTTGGGAAAATACATGGAACCATGAGTTCTTTTGAAAAGCATATGATGCTGGGATGAACTATACTGGAGGCTAAAAGGACTTACATTTAGCACTTGTCAGAAGCTTTAAAAATCACATGTTCAGTATTTGCTTAAACTTTAAAAAAAATCATGAAAATTAAAATGCCCTTTGAGAAGTGAAAGAAATATTTTCTATGAAACTGGGTAATATTTTGCTGGGAAAATAAAAGGTTAAAATAGTTTCTAAGGTGGGTTTTACCAGATGATAAATATGTATTACTATTTTTTAAAAGGATCTATACCTACATTAATTTGGGAAATGCTGAGTTGAACGAATTTAAAGCGTTTGGTTTAACAATAGTTCTCAGAACCTTTTATATGTTAATTTACATTTAATACTAGTATTCTATATATACTCTAAGAAATGCTGGGCTAAAGAATAAATGTTTAAAGGAACGGTTTAATAAATTTTCTTTTTCTTCAGAAAACAAAGACGACAAAAGATCAGAACTTGCAGTGTTCTTCTAGTCTAACCAATTTTATTAATGTAGGAAGTAGACCCAGGGAAGGTTAAGTAACTTGTACAAACTCATAAAATTAGTTTAGTGAAACTGGAAGTTACCACACAAACTAAAGTTCTTCTAACTATACCAACGCATAAGAAATAAACAGCACATGACTTCTTAGCCTTTTGGCTAAGATCAAATGTAGAAATTTGATCTTTTTTTTATTTTAAAGATGTGGGGTACGGTTCAGGGATAGGTATACAAATGTTCATTATGCAGGTATCCTTGTTGATGAGGTGTGCCCCTTGCTCCCCTGGCAGTTTCCCACTACTGCCAATCCCTTTCTTATAGTATTATAATTGTTCAAGGTCCATTTATGAATGAGAATGTATGGTACTCTGTTAGTCTCTGTGATAGATCACTGAAGAAATTTGATCTTAAATGTACTTTTTTCATATTTTAACATTTTCGTATTTGAGATGCATATTAAAATTGACTGAGTTTTATATCAGATGAAATGTAGAAAATCAACATAAAAGAACAACTGATAAAAAAGATAATTGCTGAAGTCTGAAATGGATTATAGAATAAAATGTATAAATTCTATCCTCAGAAATCCATGAAAACTATGGTTAAAGAATGAGTCTACTCCAAATATGGATGAGGTGTTGAGAGTGTGTAGTCCTAGTTACTTGGGAGGCTGAGGCAGGAGGATTGCCTGAGCCCAGGAATTTAAGTGCAGCCTAGGCAACATAATGAAACCATGTCTCTTAGGAAAAAAAAAAAGAAACAAAGAAAGAATAGGTCTATGTCTACTCTAGATTGTTGAGGTACTTTATCTACCTAATAGCAAGAGGTTAGAAATATCACTTTTTAATAGTTTCCTGAGTTTTATATAATGCTTTAAAATTTATGTGTGTATAGTATTATGTCTTATATTTTAAAAAATTCTGAATTCTTTACTAATATAAATTAGTAAAAGAATGAAATGATACAGAAAGGACTAAAGAGTAAAACTATAAGCCAGAAAATTAAAATTCTAAAACAAAATTTAAAAAATAAAAATTGTAAACATAATTAATTGCCAGAACTAATGAGATTAATGAGAATAACAAATATGGTTTTGCACTTTGGAAATACTTACTTCATCACTTTCTACTAGATTCTCAAACTGAAAGAACAAAAAGCAAATGTTAGAAGGGATATTTGTCTAAGGTAAATATCTCATGAGAAATTATGTCACTTTTTTCACCTTAAGAATAATATACACTTACATTTGCATAATTTATATTTAAGTGCCTTTTTATATGTGTATCATCTTATTTGATATATTCAACAGTCCTACAAAATGACCAAAGCAAGAATACAGTCTTATTATTTATGACTGTATGAATGGAAATCAAAAAAGAGAATTACAGCAATTTTTTGCGTAAGTCAGAACTAAAATCTTCATCTGAATTATTTCATACAGATGCTTTAAATCCACACTATCAGAATTTTCCACTTTGCTTGAGTTCAGATCAAGTTGTTTTATGTCATAAGAAGGAAAATTATTCAAGAAACAAGGACCAAAAATAAAAAGAGACCCAAATAAGAATTTCTCTAAATGTATATAATTATTCATTCATTCATTCATATAATTATTTACTGAAAATCTATTAGCAGGTCTCCCCAAAGAAAGTGTCTCTTGAAAGATAGGAATGTAAACAATTTGATCATAATGTAGTTAATGCTATTATGTCAATGACCTAATAAAAATCATTATTATTAAAATGTATTTTAAATATAAATAACTTGATAATAAACACTTGAAAGAAAAAGTGTTTTGTTGTTAGCACTGTTTTGTTTAAAAATCAGGAGGAAACAATGAATTCAAAAGGTTTAAAGAATTAAGGAATATCTCTAAAGAGATAAAACTATTTTTAAAATGTCTTTAACTTAATTTTTATATTGATTTGTGATTTTTACATAAACGAATTCCTGCTTTATATGTTTCCTTATTAATACAGAAAGCAGTGAAGTACAGTATTCAAGCTTTGGAGCTAGGCAGTTTTGGATGAGAATTTAGGTTCTGCCACATATAAGATGTAAAATATAGCTCAGTTTTTCCACCTGTCTAGCCTCTAATATCTCATCTATAAAACAGAATGACTATGACCTGTTTACAATAGAGTTGTAGCAAGAATTTTGTGCAACGACATTCCTAACGTGTGTTGTAGTGGCTAGTTTATAGCAGGGATTGAGTAAATGGTAGCTTCTATTATTATGTTTTATATTCAAAGAAAAAGTGACTCAGTGGTTCTGCTGTGGAGTTGCTTAAAATCAACTTGCTGCTTTCTTTCTGCTATACCTCCCTGCTGGGGCAGGCCAACCATCTCATAGCCACTGCCTTAGTGAGCTGCTATTATTGATAGGAAGGTAGCGTCTCCCTAAATTGGGTAGGGTGGAAAAACAAACAAACCTATTAGAAAAACAGGACCTTAATCTTCTGCAAACTTCCCCCATTCACCCTTCCACCCCATTTCTCCAATTCTTTCTCTCTTCACTAGTATCAACAATATTGACGTATAAACAGTTTATACTAAATTTGGGACCTGATCCTTCCTCCTTTACAACAACAAAAAAGTCCCATTCTGAAAGTAAGTTGAATCTAATCAAGTTCATGACTACTTACCTCTATAGTTAAGTGCTCACCTCTTGAGCATGTCCTAAAATATTTAGATCTGCAAAAAACAGAAAAACAATGTTAAAAAACAGTTAACTCTAAGACTGAATTAATATAGTGGCACAAAAACACTTCCTCAAGAGTAACTTGAAATTCTCTGACATACAGTATCTTATATTTACAAAAAGGAACAACCAAATTTACCTAAGAATAAAAGTAGTCCAGATTTTTAGACTTCATTATGAGTTTAGGTGTTTAGTCAATCAATATTTCTATTGGTGCTAATATTTACTAATCCTATAATAATAAATATACTATATTTACCATATAGAATGCATTTTTAAGTTTATCTCATTATTTTTACTACATTAAGAAAAATACTTTGTTAAAAATACTGATGTATTAAATAATCTATGAGTATATTCCCAAGTTTGTTAAACATACACAAAACATTAAAAATCTAAGAGGCTGTGTACGGTAGCTCATGCCTGCAATCTCAGCAGTTTGGGAGGCCATGATGAGAAGATTGCTAGAACCCAGGAGTTCAAGACCTAGGTAGGCAGCCTAGGCAACATATTGAGACTTTGACTCTAAAAAATAAATATCTAAAAGGACATATACCAATATACTAAGAATGATTCCCCTCTTGGAATCATGTGTCTTTATTCAAAGCTTTTTATTTTCTTCTCATGCCCTCACATATTAAAGAAGAAAAATAATGAATATACATGACAAACAAGCCATTACATTAATTTTTCCAACTAGGGCCAAATACTGACTTTTATTTTGATCATACTTTTCTGCTCTTATTAGAGAAACTTACACGTAGTCAAGTAAGAGTCTTCTTTATTATATCTGCCCAAAGATATGCCTATACTCTATTAACATAGCATCGAAGTTGGTGTAAAACAGAGTCACTCAAACTCCTTTATTACTAGAAGCGCAAGGAGAGTAAAACTTTCACCCATCATGTGGTTCCTGGTATAGCTGCCAAAACTTATGGAGGAGAGTACTCCCTCTGCAATAGGAATTCTAATTTGCACTAAGGGTTCCTGACGTGTCAGGATTCTTGGAGAAAGCACTCCTTTTAAAAAATGGGAAGAATCCTATTTGTAAGTGTGTGTGGAGGGGCCTGACAAGGTTAGTGAAAGCAAATGCCATGTTATCATGACTGAAAAAGGAATGAAATTATAGGTATTAGCAATGAAATTATAGGTATTATTTTTCCTGGTATAATCTTTATCTGCTGATAGATGTAAAGCAGTGTTAATGCCCATTAAGAAATCCTTGGTAAAAAGCAAATAATTTAGTATTATAATTGTACCGATCTCATGGAACATATCTAATATAAACACAATCTCCGTGAAACTATCTAGAACCTCCACTTTACTCTTATCCTCATTTCTCAAACACAAACAGGTTCAAATGAGTTGAACCTTCTGGTAGCACTGTGTTTGGCATTAAGATTCCTGCTTATAGTCCAATATACTTCTTTTCCTGCAACCATTATTCTCTTTCCTGAATGAAGAATCCATCTCTGATTAATTTATTTCCTCTGCCAGATTTACTGAGTGATATTGCTGGATAATGAAATAAAGTTCAGTAATACTAAGTATCTCAAAATAAGCCAAAAGTATGACTTTACTGCTGTTGCAAAGTGCAAGACTGTCCAAACCAAGGGAAGTAGTTGTTGCATTACTGCCTACCTAGGTCTTGAACTCCTGGGTTCTAGCAATCTTCTCATCTTGGCCTCCCAAACTGCTGAGATTGCAGGCATGAGCTACCGTACACAGCCTCTTAGATTTTTAATGTTTTGTGTATGTTTAACAAACTTGGGAATATACTCATAGATTATTTAATACATCAGTATTTTTAACAAAGTATTTTTCTTAATGTAGTAAAAATAATGAGATAAACTTAAAAATGCATTCTATATGGTAAATATAGTATATTTATTATTACAGGATTAGTAAATATTAGCACCAATAGAAATATTGATTGACTAAACACTTAGATGGCAGAACACTGTGTCTCATTCCAATTATACAAAGATATTACAAGCTAACTTTATGTCTCCCTTTTTTCTCCCCTCTATCCACACCCAGGCACAGTGAGGACAATCATGTTCTTCTATGACTCTGATTCCCTGATTATCTGACCAAGTTAGACCAGTCAATCCTCCCAGACCTCAAATGATTAGTTCAAGGCTATATGGACACCGAGCAGGGAGCAGGGAGACATAATATCCTCCTAAGAGCTCTAGAGAGCTCCTGCGGATTATGCTTCTTGCCAATCTACAATGAGAGGAATGAAATAAAATGAAAGAGTGCTTCTGACAGCATTGAAGTAATCTCTAAGGCCAGCTACATCCCCACCTTGCTCCTGGTTTGGTTATTACTTGAGAAATCTAACATTCCTATAATAAATTCTACTCTTTGCCTAAGCTTGCTTGATCTATCTAGACGTCTGCTCCTACAAATGAAGTCCAAGTTAATAAATATGATATATAAGTGATATCATAACAATTGAGCAAATTAAGAATAGTAAAAACGATCAAAATAAAAAGAAGCAAAATAAGTTTGGAAAAAAATTAAAGCTTTCTTTTTGAAATGGATTGAGGCCTTGCTCACGAAGAGCATATTGACCTCTACCTACCATAAAAACTAAGATTATATTGATAAAGTAAATATTCAATTAGCAAACTCAGAGGCAACATTTTTATCAGAGGAGCTTAATCCTGTGATTTATCTGAAATAAGTCAAGATACTGTAATACCTATTTTTATAAATTTTGAATGCCTATTTTTTACTTATTCAAACATTGTTGGTGCCTAAATAGGACCCTCAGATATGTGCAGTATTAAATTCAGTCACTGATGTTTTGCCAACTTTTAATCATATAGAAACCATAGCTTTTCACATATTTTTCTATATTTTCTACTTTTCTATGTAATATATATATTTAAAATAATTAGAAAGCTAACCGTTTGAAAGAGCCATTTCCAATTTCAGAGAGCTCTCTATTGCTTAAAAAAGAAAAAATTAAAACCTAAAATCTGTCTGTACTACTGGATGCTCAAAAGTCTAACAAATTTGGAATATTATTTATTCAGTGTTTTCTGTAATAAAGTATCCTGATGTTCTGTATTCTCACAGTTTTGTTCTAGGGTGAGGAGTGAGGTGCTTGGCAATCCTTCACTGCTTGCTCCTAGGTAAAGTTGAGAGTGCAAGTGAAGGGTAAGCAGAACAACTGAGGGAGTAGAAAGGAGATAGTTAACTATTAAACTTTAACTTTCATACTTTTATTTCTCAAGTACTTATTGAGTGCCTCCTCAGTGCCTGGCACTGTTCTAGGTGTTGGCAAAAACAAAACAAAACAAAAAAACCTGCCAATAAACAGATAAAAGACCTGCCACCTTGGAGCTAACAGTCTTGGGAATGAATGATAACAAACACATAGATAAATGCATCTGATGTCAAGAATCGCCATTAAAAAAGTATCTGAGACTGAGCAAGGATAGTGACTGGAGGAGAGAGGTAATTTATGTAGAGTTAGGGCAGGCCTTTCTGTGAAAGTAAAATCAGAACAAAGGCCCCAAGAAAATGAGGAAGCCAGGTAGACAGATATTTGGAAGAAAATAAGTTTAAACAGAGGAAAAGCAAATGCAAAGTGTCTGAGGCAAAACTTACTCAGCATATTCTAAGAATGTGACAAAGTCAGAATGGCTGGAATGGAGAAGAAAGGGAAATAAGGTCTGAGAGGAAGCCAAGGTTGGATCACAGGCTGTGGGAAAGGTTTTTGGATTTTATTCTCAATTAGATGAGAACTTGAAGAAGAGATTTTTATCTCTAGAATTCTTTTCCCCCCTTTTATCATGAACTTTTCAAATATGCACAAAAGTAGAGGGAAAAGCATCCTAAATTCCTCATCCATCATCCAGCTTAAAATGTTACCACTTCCTGATTTTGTTTCATTTGTATCACATCCCCCTTTGTTTCATTTTTTGTTGGTGGAGTATCTTACAGCAAATCTCAGACATGTTATCTTACCCTCACCTCAACTGACACTTCTAATCACAGTATTGAGAAAACAAAAACAAAAACAAAAACAAACCACCATGCTATTATCATACCTAACAAAATTTAAAATAATTCTTTATTATTATCTAATATCCAGTTCACTCCACATTTTTATTTCCCTGATTATCTTTTTACACATGATTTGTACAAATTGAAGTCAAGCAAGGGCTGCACACTTGCTCATTAGGCCTCTTATGCCCCTTTTAATCCATAACAGCTCTCTCCCTGCCTATTTTCATGCCATTTGACTTAGGGAAATTGTGCCATTTGTCTCATAGACTTTCTCACTTCCTAGGCTTGCCCATTTTTCCTCTTGGTATTGTGTCACTTATTCTTCTATCCCCTTTATTTTCTGCAAACTGGTAATTTAATTCAAAAGCTTGATTATAATGAGTTCAATTTTTTAGGCAAGAATCCTTCATGTGTGGCACTTGCTACAGAATCAAGTAATGAAAAATGTTATTTTTGTCTGCCTCAATTTTTCTGATGCTAAGACTGATCTGTAGATTCAGATACTGTCAGCCTAATCCATCTATCACAAAGTTCCACATCAATCTTTTACCAAATGGTTTTAGAATTCATTCATAATCAATGCTCAGTTCCATTATTTCATTAGAGGGTACAAAAGTAAGATTTTCTATCATTCCTTAAGAATTTATGAGCTCTATAAGAACTTTACTGCAGGATCCTGAAAAGACAACTTGACATATGTTTTAAAAGGCAAATGAGAAATCTATTATAATGGTACAGCAGAGAAATGATGGTAGTTTGAATCACAGTTATAATAGTGGAAGTAATGAGAAATAATATTAAAGATAGGGCTGACAGAATTTGCTAATGTATTAGATGTATATATCTAATATATATTAGATGCAGGTGTGTATAAAAAGGAAAAATTAAGGATGTCTCCTAAGTTTTGGGCCTGAACAACTACAAGAATGGAGTTGTCATTTACGGACATGAGGAAGGCAGGCTCGTG